TAGTTCGTCTGTTAATATCACATGCACTTTTTTGTTTGTTGTTTTTTTTTGTTTGTTACTCAGACGCAGGCAGTGCGCTGCATGAGACAAAAAAGTAATATAGCCGCTCTTTAGTGTAGATGCATGTTGATTTTATCAGACGATGCCGCGATTATAAATGAGTGACTCCTGGTTAACATGTATTAAAAGGGGTCGTGTTTAGTCACTATTTAGTGTGGTATTTTTTGACAATATTCACTCATCATGACAGTAAAATAGGGCATTCTAAGTCAATATACTGCAGTATTTCCTCTCTCAATCAGTAGAAAATATGGTTAACACCCGGTCATGCATGAAAAAAAAAATACCGTCATGTACCGTAAAACCGGTATAATTTTGAAAAATACCGTGACACAAATTTTTTATCATACTGCCCAGCACTACTTAAAAGTACTTTTTTTTTTCTCACTATTACAGGAACGTTTCAATTCATTATTTGTATTACACAAATAACGCATACATACATGAATTATATGCATAAATATTGTTTCAAAGCAACTATATTGCATTACAATCTCACCTTACTCTGTTTTTAAACACCTGTCGGAAAGCATAGGTGATCGAGTCGTATCAAATTTGGTAAATGTTACATTGTTGTTATATACCGATCTGTGAGCCACAGAGGCTGTTAGTGAAGTGATCAAATTGAGCTCGACATTTTAGAAGAGCAGTCACACAGAGTGAAGTCCAGTTAGAAAAACTGCCAACTAACAGCACAGCGACTTGGCAACCTGCCACAATTTAAACCTCTATAAGTGTGAATGCACATTTAAAAGGTAGCTGTCTTTTATAGGCAGTTGACAGTGAGGCAACCCACTAGGTTTTGCAACTGAGGCCGTGTGAGACAAGGTCAGTCATATGTCTAACTCGGTAAGCCCCAGAACTTTGGAGACACACCAGACCTCATCTAATACCATTGAAGCAACATCCTTGAATACAAACCGTCCCGCTCCTGCAGCCTGAGACCACATAAGCGCTCCTGCTCAGCTGGGGCACAATTGGAAACAGATCTAATCTGGATTTGATGATATGGTGGGCAAGCTCAGAGAGAAGGAGATTGAGCAAGAGTGAAAGCGAGCGAGCGAGTATGCAACAACAGCAGCCACGCAGCTGTGCACATTGACGATGATGACGATGGTATTTTTACGTGCTGCGGTTCGCTCTTATTGCC